TAACTCCTATTGATAGCAATATTAAGCTCACTTCTAAGCAGTATGATGAGTATACTGATCAAACAGGAAAGTCAGCAGACAATGATCCACTGATTGATCAAGCATCATTTCAAAGGTTGATAGGAAAACTTCTCTACTTAACTGTAACAAGACCAGATATTGCTTTTGGGGTTCAGACTCTAAGTCAGTTACTACAGCAACCAAAAAAGTCACATAAGGAAGTTGCCTTGAGAATTGTCAAGTATATGAAGAATCAACCTGGTGAAGGAATTCTATTGTCCAGCAATCAGATCAATACTATTACTGCATTTTGTGATGCAGACTGGGCTGCATGTCCATTGACAAGAAAAACAGTTACATGCATGGTTCTTAATTAAAGTTGGTGATTCTTTGGTCTCTTGGAAATAAAAAAACAAACTACTTGTCACGACCCAAAATCCACTAAGGGTCGTGATGGCGCCAGACACCACTGTCAGGCAAGCCGACCAAATTACTTAATTAAATGCTCGTTTTAAATATTCTGAAATCTCTTCTTTTATATGTTTAAACTATACATAGTGAATTTGCTGAATAAGAAACGAAACATTTAACAACTTTAAAATTTCTGAATAAACTCATAGACATCCCCAGAACCTGGTGTCACAAGTGCATGAGCTAATTCTAAGAAACAATACAATACCACATTCGTCTGGAATACAAAATTGGACAGAAAATAAATACAATACACTGAAGGAGGCTATACTAGCTGCGGGTCGCCTCGAGGAAATACAGCTCGCCTAGTCTCTGGGTCGCCCGTGCTGCTACGCCCAATGGGCCAATGGAAATACCTGTACCTGTGCAACAAAAAGCACAACAAGTGTAGCATGAATACGAAAACAACGTATACTCAGTAAGTATCCCGCCTAATCTCGAAGAAGTAGAGACGATATGGTAACTTCGACACTTACTAATGGTCAAATGATAATATTATTAAAGGGATGACTCACGCATTTATTAAGGACATCAGTAGGTTCAAATGAATTACTAAACAGGTAAAAGCTCCTTTTTATTAAAAACCTCCGGATTCATAATCCATTAGTTCACAATTATCTCAAATCGGGGAGAGCAGATGACAATATCATTAAATCTCAACGAAAGCAATACAAGTATGCGCAACTCATGCCGAGGTCGTACGGACCGATCCAACATAAATGTAAATCGTGCACTGCCGAGGGTCGAGCGGCACGAACCATAGATGCATCTATTACCCCGTTCGTGAATCATACATGCGACGCGGTCAAATTTAAACACACAATCACCCTGCTCGCGTACCATACATGCGACGCAGGTACACATAGAAACAGATGTTCAAACAACGAATTAAGAGTTTATCGGGGAACATTTAACCAAATAAAAGCCAGTCCTCTTTTAATGATTTAGGAAAATGAAGTTTAATCCTCTTACGAATTCATTTACTAATTCGATAGGATTTAAGAAATTCAATTGTCAACAAGATCACAGATATTCCAAGAATATCATGTTTTTGGGTCCTAGACTACCCGGACTTACACATATTAGTAGCTACGCAATGACTCTCGTCACCTCGTGCGTACATAGCCCCCCAAAAATAGGAGCACATAATTAATTATTTTACCTATGTGGACAATTCCCTCGTACAAGGTTAGAAAGGAGACTCACCTCGCTTCGAAGATCCATAACCGGCATTCCACGCCCTTCCGAAGACTCAAATTGATGCACAATGCTCCGAAACTAGCCAATAATTATGCAAATCCATTAATATATGCTCAATTACTCATTACAATCCAATATATAACAATTCCTAACCCCGATCGAAAAGTTGACAAAAATGCCCTCGGGCCCACGTGCCCGGATTCCGAAAATTTTCGAAGGCTAAGCTTATCCATAACTCCACGAACTCAAATATATAATTTACTCTCAATTCCATACCCAAAATTGTGGTCAAATTCCAAGAATATCAATTTCTAGGTCTTTCCACCAAAATCCCAAATTTCTACCAATTTACATGCTAAAATACATACACAATCATTGTATTTAACTCAAGATAGGTGGGGATAGCTTACCTTATCGTTGATGATGAAAATCCCCTCTTGAAACCCTCCAACAATCGCCCAAGCCAAGACAATATGAGAGAAAATGGCCAAATCCCAATTTTTAAAACACTTTCTGCCTCCAGCACTTCCCGCACCTGCGGTCCCCTGACCGCTTCTGCGGTTCTGCATGTGCGAGCCATCCTACCGCTTCTGTGGTTTCCTCCAGGCTCCCCTTTTTCCGCTTTTGCGCCCCCGCTTCCGCCGATGTTGTCCCGCATCTGCGAAAAAGCGACCGCATCTGCGGTCCCAGCTCTCTTCCGCCAAATTCCTCATCTGCGACCATTGGGCCGCTTCTGCGGCTCCGCACCTGCGGCCGTAGTCTCGCAGGTGCTGTTACACCAGTAACCAACAACTTCAGCTCTTCTTCAAACTCAGAATGCAATCCGTTAACCACCCGGAATCCATCCGAGACCCCCGGGACCCCAACCAATCATACCAACCAGTCCCAAAACACATTATGGACTTGCTCGAGGCCTCAAATCATATCAAACAATGCTAAAACCACGAATCGACCTCCAATCCAAGCTTTATGAACTTTAGAATTCCAAACTTCTACTTTCGATATTTAAACCTATCAATTCACGTCCGATTGACTTCAACTTTTGCACGCAAGTCATATTCGATATTACGGACCTACTCCAACTTCCGGAATTGGATTCCGACCCTGATATCAAAAAGTCCACTTCGGGTCAAACTTCTCAAAAACCTTCAAATTTCTATCTTTAGCCAAATGACTCCAAAATGACCCACGGACCTCCGAATTCACTTCCGATCTCGCTCCCAACTCCAGAATCACCATACGGAGCTACTCCCAGACTCGGCATCACTAAATCTCAAGGAAAGCAATACAAGCATGCGCAACTCATGTCGAGGTCGTACGACCTGATCCAACATAAATGTAAATTGTGCACTGCCGAGGGTCGAGCGACATGAACCATAGATGCATCTATTACCCCGCTCGCGAATCATACATGCGACGCGGTCAAATTTAAACACACAATCACCCTGCTCGCGTACCATACATCCGATGAAGGTACACATAGAAACACATGTTCAAACAGCGAATTAAGAGTTTTTCGGGAAACATTTAACCAAATAAAAGCCAGTCCTTTTTTAATGATTTAAGAAAATGAAGTTTAATCCTCTTAGGAATTCATTTACTAATTCGATAGGATTTAAGAAATTTAACTGTCAATAAGATCACAAATATTCCAAGAATAGCATGCTTTTGTGTCCTAGACTACCCGGACTTACACATATTAGTAGCTACGCACGGACTCTCTTCACCTCGTGCGTACGTAGCCCCCCACAAATAGGAGCACATAACCAATTATTTCACCTATGGGGACAATTCCCTTATACAAGGTTAGAAAGGAGACTCACCTCGCTCCGAAGATCCATAACCGGCATTCCACGCCCTTCCGAAAACTCAAATTGATGCACAATGCTCCGAAACTAGCCAATAATAATTGAAATCTATTAATATATGCTCAATCACTCATTACAATCCAATATATAACAATTCCTAACCCCGATCGAAAAGTTGACAAAAATGCCCTCGGGCCCACGTGCCCGGATTCCGAAATTTTTCAAAGGCTAAGCTTACCCATAACTCCACGAACTCAAATATATAATTTACTCTCAATTCCATACCCAAAATCGTGGTCAAATTCCAAGAATATCAATTTCTAGGTCTTTCCACCAAAACCCCAAATTTCTACCAATTTACATGCTAAAATCCATACACAATCAATGTATTTAACTCAAGATAGGTAGGGATAGCTTACCTTATTGTTGATGATGAAAATCCCCTCTTGAAACCCTCCAAAAATCGCCCAAGCCAAGAAAATATGAGAGAAAATGGCCAAATCCCAATCTTTAAAACACTTCATGCCTCCAGCACTTTCCGCACCTGCGGTCCCCTTACCGCTTCTGCGGTTCCGCAGGTGCGAGCCATCCTACCGCTTCTGCGGTTTCCTCCAGGCTCCCCTTTTTCCGCTTCTGCGCCCCCTCTTCCGCAGATGCGGTCCCACATCTGTGGCAAAACGACCGCATCTGCGGTCCCAGCTCTCTTCCGCCAAATTCCGCATCTGCGACTATTGGGCCGCTTCTGCGGCTCCGCACCTGCAGCCCTAGTCTCGCAGGTGCTGTTACACCAGCAACCAGCAACTTCAGTTCTTCTTCAAACTCCGAATTCAATCCATTAACCACCCGAAATCCACCCGAGGCTCCCGGGACCCCAACCAATCATACCAACCAGTCCCAAAACACATTATGGACTTGCTCGAGGCTTCAAATCATATCAAACAACGCTAAAACCACGAATCGACCTCCAATCCAAGCTTTATGAACTTTAGAATTCCAAACTTCTACTTTCGATGTTTTAACCTATCAATTCAGGTTCGATTGACTTCAAATTTTGCACGCAAGTCATATTTGATATTACAGACCTACTCCAACTTCCGGAATCGGATTCCGACCCCGATATCAAAAAGTCCACTTCCGGTCAAACTTCTCAAAAACCTTCAAATTTCTATCTTTAGCCAAATGACTCCAAAGTGACCCACGGACCTCCTAATTCACTTCTGATCGCGCTCCCAACTTCAGAATCACCATACGGAGCTACTCCCAGACTCGGAATCCCAAACGGACATCGATAACACTGAAATGCACTTCAACCCAAACTTATGAATAAAAATGAGTAATAACCCCAGTAGAGACTGGTACGATTCAATTCAACATTTTGTTCGTTCGGGTTTGATTAGGTCGTAGCTCTATAATCAGATTAAGTTTATCGTTGGATGAACTGCTGATATTAATAAAAAAATGACGTTAGGTACTGCTAGGCCGTGAACACCCGATCTATAGTCATTAGGGCCTCCTAAAACGATGTACTATCATCGAGTTGTTCCAAAGGATCAAAACGGCCAGTTATTAATGGAATTCCTTGTCGGCTTTCTGAAAAATACTCGTTTGGCCGAGGGCTTACAAACACATCGTAAGCTAAATCGGTGCTAACAAATAACCAACCCGAAGCAGCTGATGCAGGCAGGTTTGAAATTGTTCACTAAGCTAAGATGAACACTTGATTGAATTATCAATCAATACAGTAGAAGAAAGAAGAAGAACAGAGAGAAGGAGAAACATAACTGATATGAAGAAGAAGATGATGAATTAGACGATAGAGAGAGAGTTAGTGGAGAGTATTTTATTTCTTTCAAAGTTCAAGTTTACAATGTGATGTTATGTATATATAACTATTCCTTAAGACTTCCATTAACAATCTAACTGACTCTTAATCCTAACTTAACTAACTCTTCTAACAACTATTAACAAGATTAACTAACTTCTAACAACCTTTCCATACAAGGACTATTTTACCCTTACTTTATTTAACACTCCCCCTCAAGCTAGGTGGTGGAAAAATATTAAGCATTCATAGCTTGGACTTCAAATACTCATGTTGAACTTTAGTTAACCCTTTTGTAAGAACATCTGCTGGTTGATCTGTTGTAGGAATGTATTTTGTGGAAATAAGACCCTGTTGGATTCTTTCTCTCACAAGGTGGCAGTCTATTTCAATGTGCTAGTCCTTTCATGATAGATAGGATTAGCGGCTATTTAAATAGCTGCTTTGCTATCACTGTGAGTATCAGTAGGTTGTTTAATATGAACTCCAACCTCTTTTAGCATGCCATGAAGCCAAATTAGCTCAGCAACAGTTGTTGCCAAGCTTCTACACTCAACTTCTGCAGAACTTCGAGATACAGTAGTGTAACGACCCGCCCGATCATTCTGAGCTCTAGCGCACCGTTCAGCAGTTCGAGGACATGAACAGCTTTATTTCAGGTATTATGACTTGCGCGTGTGGTCGGAATTGAACTTCGGGAAGTTCGGAGTTGATTTGAAAAGAACATTCTCATTTTAGAAGCCTTGAGTTGAAAGAATTAGCTAAGATCGGCTGGGATCCGAAATTTAAGTCAATCAAACCTGAATTGATAGGTTGGAATTCTAAAGTTAACGAAACTGAAGTTGCTGGTGGGCGGAGCCGCAGAAGCGGCCCAATAGTAGTCCCTTATGTATGCTAAAGTGGAGCACCTTTAGTCTCAAACATATGTAGTCCCTTATGTATGCTAAAGTGGAGCACCTTTATTCTCACTGACAGAATCTATCGCTTCCCGCTTTAATTTACTTATCGAAAATATTATAACCACCCCAAGTAATAAAAGGAGAGGAAATGTATTTCTTCAAAGCTGAAGATTTGTTTCATGAATCATAGTTGGTTAACACCGTTAGTTTTTGAACAAATTCTGTCAGTAAGACTAAATGTGCTCCACCTTAGCATACTTAAAGACTAAATATGTTCATCGTTATATTTGAGGGACCAAAATAGACCTACCCTCAAAGATAAGGGACTAAAGATGTTCTATTTTAGCATACTTAAAGGACTAAATATGCTCAGAGTTATATTTGAGGGATCAAAATATACCTAGTATCAAAGATAAGGGATAATATTGGCGACCCCAGAAGGCTCATCGGAGTGGCATTTACCCAGGTATTCAGACGCCATTTCTCGGAGGAAGTGAGTGGCTCCTTTCTCGACAAGTCTGAAGTCACTGATCGTGTTATCAACTGTGTCAAAAACTTCCAGAAAGTTGATCCTTCCAAGGTAACAATATCGTTTCATTATTTGCTTTTTTACCTTTTTAGGCAATGGTTTTGAGCTAGAAAATTAGGGTTTTTGTTGGGTTTTAGTGAAATACGTTTTAGGTTCATGTTTTGTACGATTTCTGGTCCATTTATGTTTACCGCTGTACAAGTCGCTGATGATTTTTTCTTTTTGAGCTAGAAATGAAATGATCTACGTTTAATTTCCACTCGTTCTTTTTGGTGAGGAATTGAGGATTAATGGATTGTTTCTTTTAGAATACGGCAGTTTTGTAATAGAATTAATTTGGAAAGCTGGGAAATAAACAGGATAAGTATAATGGAGGAAGTTAGGAAGCAAGAATGCGTCTGTGTCCGGTTGGTAGTTGTTCTTAGTTCAAGTTTGGGAACCAGAATTGGGAAGTCGAAAATATTATCACTTATATGTCCAAGTATTGACCTGGAGGACTTAAGATGCTTCTTTCTTCGTGTCACATCATTGGCCTAAGCTCGTGCTTTTACCATGTATTGGACGCTCTTCCTCCATCATACTTCCCGGCGATGTTCTTTCTGAATGAGTATGATCTTTTAAACTCGTCCTGAGCTACTTTTATTTTTGTTGATAAATCCAATAATTATCATTCATATGATGCGATATTGTCTCCTATTTTCATGTTAATATTGTCTCCTTTTGTCTTTTTGTTTTGTTGAGCCGAGGATCTTTCCGAAACGGCCTCTCTACTCCTTTGTTGTAGGGGTAAGGTCTGCGTACACACTACCCTCCCCAGGCCCTACTAGTGAGATTTTACTGGGTTGTTGTTGTTGTATCATGCAACAAGTTGTTGTTAAAAGTATGTGCATGTGGAGGCTGGCATTCAATCAACTAATGACCTATCCAAATCATCTATATAGAAACTAATCTTCAGTAGCTTCTGCATCTTGTTGTGTCAGTCTCTGTCTTCAGGAACACCTGCAAAGCATCAAATATAGAACATACAAGGTTCCATAGTTGTGTACTGAGTTTTCAATAAGTGAGCTGTGATTTATGTTTGATTGTTTTCCACCTCTTTGTTTCACACATCAAGATTCTCCTTTCCTTAAAACTGTCTACCAGTCGTATTGTGTCCCTCATGGCACACCAAAAGGAGCCTTCTTTTTAAGTGCTCTTACATTTGATCCCCTTCCCTTTTCTTGTAGCAAGATTTCACCAAGAATGACCTCACCCCCTTTCCATTCTGTTCCATCCTATCTTCTTGTTTACCTTACACGTCACGTGTTGGGTGTTTAAGTAAACTCCTAATCCCAACCATGAAAAGCTCTTCTAAATTTATATCCGTATGATTCCCTGGCTGTTCCTTCTCAAATAGTTAGGTAACATAGTCTCTATCATTCACCAAACTATACACCTGCGGAAACGTCTCCTATCAATTTGTTCCTCCACGCCACACATCTTCTCAAAGATGATCGAGTCTGCTCACCATTACTCGCAGTACAGTAAATGTGCTTAAAGAACGTGTTTTTCGCCCTTCACGACGCACTCTCTTAAGCTACCCGGCAGGACTTCATAACTTCCTCAGTAAACCATGTCTTTCATATTGCTCCATGTTTAAGATTCTTCATAAACCATGTTTCTTAAAGCAAATCTCAGCAAACACTTCTGCAAGAGTGCTGTAGTAAAAGTAGATATTTCTCGGATCTCTACCCTTTGTTTCTGGGAATTGTTATGTTTCTCCATTCTATCAAATGATACTTCTATTCCCCTCCTTTTCTTACAGGAAGGCTCTCATTATGTATTCCAGCTTATCAGATACTAACTTAATAAGCATATAAAATAACATGTGACTTATTTGGTTATTAGATGGTGTAAATTAGTAGGGTTATTTTTCCAACTTAGATGAGAACTGTCTCTTCCAACCGGACTTCTTGATTACTGGTTTTTAAAGATCCTCAAAATTTTCCCCGAGTAGTAGGTCTAGGAATATCACTGATGGTGTTGCCACCCTAGAACCATGATGCTTGCATGTTATTGAATATCTTGTACCTCCTTCACTGATACCAGTCCAGAATTACATGTATTGACAACTTGGAACCATGTCACCGTTCTGAAAAGGTATTGGAGTTGTCTAGTATGTGGCCTGTAGGAGATCAACGCGTTGTGAGCAAATTAAATGAGATACTCTACTCTGTGCCTCCATCACAAATAAGAAGGACCAGAGTGATTACCGGGAAAGCAGGTGAAAGTTCCCTGGCCCAAGTGTGAAGCAATGACTGTCCTAGAGAACCCCAAATCTTCCTTGTGAGTGGTATCTATGTTCTTTTGATACGTACCGGTTGAACAGCCATGACAAAATTAACAAAGCTAACAAGTTAAATTGGTAATATTTCAAGAGTTCCCTATGTTGGCCTTGTTGTGGTTTGTGATTCGGATAAAACTTAGTTTTAACTGGAATATTATCATTTCTTTAGGTGCTTTAGGTTCTAACTTTCCATCTCTTCTTGCAAAACAATATACTTGCCGTAATTATTATACCTTGTTAGCTCACCTAAAAATCTGATATCTTTGCCCGTTAGACTTGAGCTCTTTACCTCAATAACTTGTAAATACTCTCAAACCAACTAAGCTTAAATCAACAAACTAGTGGAAAGGAAATTTTCTAAATTACCTATATGATAGGAGGGAAGCCTGAGATCATCACCACTATGTATTTTTTGTCAGTTATGAAATGAATGAAATAAAATAATGATGTAGAAGGCATTTATAATCCTTCTTATTCACTTGTATTTTTGGTGTCAATACAAAAGAAAGTGATATAGATAGCTATCAAACTAGTCAGATACCATGGATGACCTGCATCGAGTAATGTAATTACTTGTCCATTCTTCTGACACACCTATTTGCGGTATACATGAATTTTGACGTATCAAGAAAAAAAAAACCAAAAATTTACAGTTTCAAAGGTGTCAAAGGTATGTTGAGCAGCAAGTTCTCTTCTTTTATTCTGCATTTGTTCCCCCTCCCATCCGACCTACTAGTACTCCATACCTGCAGGTTACTGGAGTGGCAGTCTCTGTTTCTCGGTTTTTGGTGCTGGTGTCCTATGTTGGCGCTGGTGATTCCACCAATACTTAACCCTAGTATTTTAACAGCTTTTACTGTTGCCTTATTTTTTAATATGGATGGTGGGACATGCCTAATGCATTCCCTTTTCGCTGACAGCGAGTCTTTGTAGACTGCTATTATAGTGTTCAATCTAGGCACGGACCAAACATTAGAATCTTCAGATTTTAATTAGGTTCCTTCTTGTTTTAAAGCTTCTGGGACTAATTTATGCACAATATGCCTTTGTGATGTTCATCTATTCTCGCAGGTTACGCCAAATGCTCACTTCCAAAATGATCTTGGTTTGGATAGCTTAGACACCGTAGAAGTTGTGATGGCCCTTGAAGAAGAGTTTGGATTTGAGATTCCCGACAATGAAGCTGATAAGATCAACTCCATCAATCTAGCTGTTGATTTTATTGCATCTCACCCTCAGGCAAAATAAGGGAAATAACTTGCGTGTCCATTTCATTCCCATTTATACTTAACTTTTCATTTTTCTCACTGTTGGATGTGTGGTTCACATGTTTGACTTCTCTCAGCCTTCATCAGTTTTGGATAATTCATCACAATGAGAAGTTGTCATAGTGAAAATGCTTTATAATGGGCTCAAACGAAGGATGAGTTGCTTTACTGGTTGTTAGAAGTTGTCTTTTTATGAAAATAAACAAGCATCAGCATCCTTTATGTGCTGGATTCATGTGTATTTGTTTTGCACTGATGATGGTAACTGAACATACGACTGCAATTCTTTTAATTGCTAGATGCTGAAATTAGTCGCTGTCATTTTAGCTGTATCTAATGAATCAAATAGTTAGATATTGAACGTGTTTTGCTAATTAGCCCAATTCCAATTCCTCTCGAGGCAATGGAACCAGTTACTACTGGTTCGTGTGTGGGTCAAAGTTGCAGAGAAAAGTATTTAGTTAACTTGTCTCTTCAAAAAAATTCGTCGACTGTTATTTATTTTAAAAAGATATTCTATCTTCTGGTATTTTCAAGTGGGCTATTTGGTACTTTCTCTGTGGAGAATTTTACTTAGATCTGTAAAATTAGGGAATTCAACTCCCTTCCATTTTCTATTGTCTTCATTTCTTCAAGTTCTTATTTGAACGGATGACACATCTCTTATTTTTGTTTTAATGTTTTAGATTTAATTGCCTAAAAATATACTTAACCATGGTTAGGATAAAATATTTTCATTATTGTTTTCTGAACTTTTGATATTCCTTCCAATTTCATTCTTCTTTTTTCCTTTTTAAATAGAACAACAGAAATACAACTTATGAATATTAACATAGCTAAAACGTATAGTACCAAAATGTAATTTTACCAAATAATGAATGGAAATATTTTTGAAATAGTTAAAAGAAAGTAGTTACCTTTTCATATTATATCTTATAATACCCCTCCTAATTTGCCTATAAAGTATCAATGATGGCGTTACGTAATATTGAGGTTTGAGGGTTTTTAAACAATGATTTTGATATATGTAAAAGTTTGTAGTAAATTATTACAAATACGTTCTTTTTGTCTATTGAAACAAATAATCCAGTATCATTGAGTCAAAAACTCTAAGATGTTTGAATTGTTTTCTGTTGAGAATTTGTTGAACTTTCAGATTTCAAAAACTAAGCATTTTCTCTACGTGATTCGTTTTAAATAAAACTGTATTAATTGATGAGTATCCACAATTCAGCTCCTACAAATATGGGATTGTTAGATCTTTTAGAAGTAAATATATAAAAATATTTTATTATTTTAACTTTGGTTAAGATCTTGTGTCAAGTAATTAAATCTAGACCATTGATATAAAAATAGAACTTAAAATTAGAAGTGTTAGAGGCATGTGCATTCATGCAAACTCTTAATTAAGATTAGGTTAGCGTAATTGACTTTTAGTGTGGTGATCTGCCTTTTTAAAATCAGAGCTGACATATATATTGTCAAACATACCTGGACTAGATATGTAAAATTGGAAGTCTAATTACTAAAATAATTTATATTAAAAAGGTATACATAATAAATCTTAGAAATCATTTACAAAATTTTCCTTCTTGAGAGTTTTTGAGGTACTCATGGCTCAACTAGTGATGGGTATGATGGTGGTTTTTCTTATGGTAAGTCCAATGATAGAATAGTTATATATAAAATATATACAAATGATATATAAAATATATGCACCATAATTGTATGCAAGTAGTATATTTTTATCAGATTATATATATTTTGTTAAAAAGCTCTTGTTACTTTTTGAAGCTCCAATTCTAAAGCGGATACATGTCTCCTACTATCTATATTCTTCAAATTTTGCACGCAAGTCATATTCGATATTACGGACCTACTCCAACTTCCGGAATTGGATTCCGACCCTGATATCAAAAAGTCCACTTCGGGTCAAACTTCTCAAAAACCTTCAAATTTNAATATTAGGATTCTTTCAAATATCCACATGAATAAAACATAACTTACATTAAGACACAACGTTTTACAAGATGGGGGAAATAGAAGAGAATTTTTTTCTTCTAAAGATTAAAACATGTCACGCATTATGATGCTCTTGAAATTTTTAATTTTTCCTCTAAAATTAAGTTGATTCATTAATTAGCTTAATTATATTCTTATACAAAATATTATAATCAATATTGAAATTAAACTTTTAGTATTACTTTGAATTTTAACCAATGCCATGAATGGTGTTTGTTATTTATTACACTGTACATTCCCCCAATAAGAATGCCAAAAACTTTAAGAGATCGTTTGGTATGAGGTATAAGTAGATATAGTGCTGGTATAAAAATTTAATACCACCTTAATACTTTGTTTGGATAGCAAACCTGGTATAAGTTATCCCGGGATTAAAATTAGTACAGGGATAACTTATAACTTGTAGGGATGGGGTAATTAGTGCCGGGATAACTTGTACCTTCTTCTTACCCACAGGTGGATTAAAATATACATGATAACTAATCCGAGCTAAAGCCATTTATTAAACCAAACGCCCCCTACTGTTTGTTACCAATAGTCAGTGTCTATCCTGGTTTATAACCCAGTGCACAGGGATATTTTTATTTTTAGGTTCGGGAGATTTGAAACTTGAAAGTCCGATATAGAGTAGCGAATTTCTAAGGTTAGTCAAAAATTCTCACTCACTTAAAAGGATAGCTAAAAACCCGAATATAAATGAACGCATGGGCTAATGTTAATTACACTATTCTTAACATAAATCGATATGATATTGTGGTAAAAAAGAAAAAGAACTAGAATTTACTAAACCAAACATTCTACTTCATGAATTAAAAGAGGATAAAATGACGAATAATTTTAAAAAAATGAAACAATATTCAAAAACTTTGAATATCAAATGAGTCCCACTTTTTCTGAAATTGACGAAAAATGCCTTCTCCTAATGGAGATAATGCATGCAGGGCGCTATTATATTATGTACGCATTTTTATGTCGTTCTTTGTTAAGTTTGAAATCGATTTGGATTCTGATGTCCTTTGGACACTGATTTGGAGCAGTGCTTTTAAAACTGTGAGATACTCTATGCGATCAATTCGATTTCCGTCCCACCATTCACTATGGAGAAATTTTTAATAGCATCTGATCGGTAAGATTATATTCTCACGAAAACTGCCCTGCCATATATTAATCCTTTTAGTTTTGCCCAGCTTCTCCAAATATAATTCATATTACAAAACTGCGCGTATTCTAAAAAAGAAACAATCCATTATCCTGCAAGTTCCTCACCAAAAAGAACGAGTGAAAATATAAAACGTAGATCCATTCTCATTTCTAGCTCAAAAAGAAAACAATCATCAGAAGCGAAACTTATAAGCGGTAAATAATGGACCAGAAAATCGGGGACAACAAACAGAACACTAAAAACGATATTTCACTTAAAACCCAACAGAACCTAAGGCCAAGGGCCTTCCCCTAAAGATTCAGAGTTCGACCTCTCGAACTCAACACAGGTCGTATATCATTTCGAAATTATAACACCCTTAAGGCCAAAGGCTCCCAGTCCAAAG